TCAAAATGGGGCGTCTCATGTGAGATTTGTTTGGGTACCAGCTCATGTGGGTTTGACTGGAAATGAGCAAAGCAGGCTTTAGGAGCAAACAACATGTAAAGAAGTTGTGGCAAGAAAGATGGGATAGGGGAGATAAGGAAAGGGACTAGTACAATATCAGTCCTCACGTTTCTTTGGGACGCCAAGGAGGAAGGTGTCTAAGAGAAGAGGTGATACTTACTAGGCTCCGAGTAGGGCACACTGGATTAAACAAATACTTACACTTGATAGGCAAGCATGATGCTGGAGGTTGCGAAATGTGCAGCGTACCTGAAACAGCAGAGCATGTCCTTATGAGCTGAATAAAGTATGACAGAGAGAGAAGGATAGCTCAAAGGAAAACTGAGGATGTAGAAGAGACGTTCAGCCTGAGAGGCATATTATCTAAGTGATTAAAATTTTACTTGACTTCTTATGAGACACAGGGTTTTTTCTGCAAAGCTGTGAGTCATAAGACTGATGGTTTACAATGCATCCAGAGGGTGGCGGTAGTGCGCTAAGTTAGTCTGCATCCGCTGTTGAACGCTCAAAGAAGAAGAAGCAGAAGCAGGTAACAGGTGGTGAGGGAACCTGGATTTTGGGGCTCGAATGAGAGTTTATAGAGGAGACGTGAGGAGGGGATGCTGGGTGTGAGGACTTCTGGAGCTGGAGCCAGATTAAAGGTGGTTTATTCCTGGAGGAGCTGGAGGCGGTGGACCGACGTCTCCTGATGTGGATTTGAAGTTACGAACTGAAGCAGCCGAATCAAAAGTTTCCACGTCATCATTACCTTCTGCAGACTTTGGTTTGTGATTCTACTTTAAAGACTCATGGACCCACCTGGACCAGTCACAGTCAGAAGGTAGGAACACATCTCCTAACACTGAGTTTTATGACCTGTATGAGAAGATCTCTGAAGAGCAGTGATGATCTGAGGAGGCTGGCGGAGCAGAATGAATGAATGGAAGCAGCTCAGTGGGAGGGCTGGACAGAAAAGAGCCTCGTGACTTCCTGACTTCAGGAGTTTTCACAGTTTTCTCCAACCGACAGTCCAAAGAGCTGCAACTACAAGAAGTTTGTGGCTTTTACTTGATAAATGAATGTTTTTTTTCCTCGACTGACTTGCTGCTGAACTGACTAATAGATGCAAACAAACCTTTAGCATCATGTAATAATCTAGATGTTGTCCACAGTCAGTCACTGTCTTTATATAAAACCCTGTTAGTGAATCATCAACGTGCTGCATGAAAGCAAATACAGACGTCTGAGCTCAGCTGAAGGTCTTTAAATGAAGGATTTCAGTCTGGATTGTTGTTGCTGAAGAACAAACTTGATCATTCTGGTTTATATCTCAGTAGATTAATGGAGGAAAATGTCTCTGAAAGTTAAATTGACAGAAACAGACGCAGTCTGGATGCTTTCTGTCACATTCACTGTTCTGAGAAACTGGATTGTTTCTGTTTTGCTGCTTTTCTCCACGTTTCAGACGTAAATGTTTGACTTTTTTTTAGCTACCAGGTGCTTTTTTAGGTTCTGATTCTGAAGAAGAAATCCTAAATCTGTGGTTTCAGAGCGTGTAAGCGAGCGCTGCGTTCATGCAACAGATTGTTTCAGCGTCTCGATGCGAGCATCATGTGCAGCTGTTTGGGGTTCAGTCACATGGATCTCAGTTTGTCTCTTTGTGGTCACGTTGTTCAGGTGATTTTGTGCCCCTCTTGATTCGTTTTTTTACTCTTTGTGTGGTTGTTTTGTGTCTTCCTGTGGCCCTTTAATGCCTCGTTGTTGTCCTTGCATTTCTTTGTTGTAGGTTTTTTGCATCTTTTTGCTCATTTTGTGCCTCTTTAGACTTTTTTTGTCTTTCTGTGGTTGTTTTGTGTTTGTGGCTTTCGTCTGCTTGTTTGTGGTCATTTTGTGTCTCATTGGAGTATGGAGCTGATGTTTTGTCATCTTTACGGCTGTTTTGTGTCTCTTCATGAGTTCAGAAGCAGCAGAACATTGAATAGCAACAGTTTGTAGTTTTTATCATCATTCAAAACATCTAAAAATCTATAAATTAATACTATTTTCTGATTAATTGCAAATACTCTAACATGAAAAAACAGTTTTGGGGGATTTTCCAGGTATGGTTTGATCAGATGTGACAACCTGACGACTGTTTTGATGAAAAAATCTGATGTCAGGACAGAAAAACATGATTGTACATGACAGTGAATTAATTGTGGTGCATCCAGCATTTACAGGGTCATTGTTTTTGGTCTTATTGTGTTTTTTTATTTGTCTTTTTGTGCTTGTTTTATGTCTAAAAGTTTTAAATTCATCTTTAAAAGCTGCTTAAACTGTGGCTTTAGCTTTACTTTTGTGCTTCTTGTCTGGTTTCTGCTGCTGTAAAAGTGTGAATTTCAACAAAAGTGACTTTATCTGAAGCTCATCTGATCTTTAATTCAACATTTTCTCCTTTTCTCTGAAATTCCTTCCTGCTGATGTGCAGAACTGATTAACTGGAGACATTTATTGCGAGCAGACATGCAATATTGAGTCATTTCCTCAATAGATAAACGTCTAATCTTTGCTTCCTGATTTGTGTTTTCTCTCTGTACTTTTAGGAGTTGTGTGATAATCTCATGTTTCAGCTCATATTTGTGCAGAAACTTCTGACTGAAGAAGCTGCTGGGTTGTGTTTTCCTCAGTGAAGCTCAGCCGGCCGTCTCAGATCTTATCGGCTCATTAAACGTGCTTCATTCTCATTTGAAGCTTCCAGAAGCTTCACTCGGCCGTTCTCACCTCATTTCACAGAGTGTCCGAGTCTCTGCCCGACTGGTCGGGGCTCGGTCGGACTGGTTGTACTGGACAGCTTCCAGGTGTGAAAGAAAAGCTGCTTCTCAGTGAAACTCACCCGAATGACTAAAGGATTAAAAATGTGTCTCACCCGCCTCACCGGTTCAGACCCATGTGACGCAACCTGCTTCACTTTGGTCTGAACCGAGGATGAGGCTTTTCTCCTGCACGGTACAGTTAAAGTCAAAATAACTTTATTTATATAACAAAAACAAAGCAGGAACTAAAACACAGGAGATAAAACAGCAAATATGTCAAAGAGGAAAGTCAAAGAACCAAAATGCAACAGTTTAAAAAAAAAAAAAGTCAAATAACTCCAAAAACACTGATTAGGAGAAACTTTTATGATAAAAAAAAAGTCCTGTAAAGTTTTAAAGAAAATCTTTGGGAAGGAAAACATGTTCAGAGACACACAAGGCTGCATATTGAGCTTATTATATATTATATAGATTTTTTTCTCTTTTTCACACTTTTTCAAAGATAAATCCACTAATTTTATTTATTTATTTTTAACAATAAAGCTCTGTATACAAGATGTTTATGTAAAACTCAAACTGCACTTGATATGATCTCATTAACAGTAGATTTAAAATCATATTACTGGTTTTACAGCAGTATTTTTGGCAAGTTTCCGTACAGTTTATATCACAAAACCCAACTAATAAGTCTGATTATTTGTAATGTAACACTTTTTAACCACATTTTTAGGTAATTTCATTACTTTTGATGCATTTAAATACAATTTGTTAAACATTTAAAAGCCAGAAATGCACATTATGTAAAAATTAGGGGAATTTTAATTTGGGAAATTCCTATTTTACTGCAGCTCTTGTGCACCACTTGCCAGAATTTCGTCTTTTTATCTACTTTATTTCCATTTACAGTGTCAGTCTAACTGTTTAATTGGATATTTAAGAGCCTCTAGGCTCATGGATTTGCTGCCTTTTAAAACTTTCAGTCCAAAAGTTGGATCTTTTTTTTGTATTTCTTGTCCCTGTGTCCCAGCAGGTGGCGCAGTTGTCTGTGATTAGTCCTTTAGAACCCTGATTCCTTCAACATTTCAACTCTAGCAGTGACTCTGCTTCCTGGTTTGTTCCATCTTTTTTATCTCTTGGTTTGATTTACTTTCAGCCAAGATGAAAAACAAGATAAAACGCACCGGTGTGACCTTTTATTTTACGCCACAGATGAACGTTTCTTACGCGCTGCTGTGACCCAAAACGGTGCGCGTTTAGTGTCGGTGCGTCCGCAGGAACCGGATCACCGCAGCAGCCTCATTGGCACATGTCCCGGCGGGGTGGAGCGTAGCGGGGGCTGCCTCCTGATTTGCGGTCTTGTTTTTGTCAGTGCAGCTGCAGCGACCGTCAGGAGAAGGAGGGCAGCGTCCGAGAGCCGCCGCTGGATGAGATTTCACCGCTGAGAGAGAGCAGAGCAGCGGGGCGCAGTCCGGATCCAGAACCCGGAGCGGTGACGCTGCGTTTAAAGGAGACTCTGAAGGGCAGAGTGAAGGAGGGTTGTTATCCGGGGAGGGGGAAGCTCATCCTCTTACCTCCCTCTGAAGGAGTATTTTAACTGTGGAGCTTCCTCGTCGCCAAATGGATGCGAGTGCGTGAGGAGAATCGCTAATGAACGGCGCGCTGCGTCCTGCCGAGGCGCACCGCGTCCCTCGCTGCTTCTGAGGGCCACAGCAGAGCCGAGCACCGGGGCCTGAGATTTTCTCACCTTCACGGCAGGAATTAATCATCTGAGCTGCTAGTTTTTTTTTTCTAACTTCCACAATCAGAGAGGTGGATACAAACCCCTCCAGGAGCTGCGCAAAAAAAAACAAACAAAAAAAGACGTCAACATGGGCAACAGCTTCTCCAACATCTCTGCCTTCCAGTCGCTCCACATCGTCATGCTGGGTTTGGACTCTGCGGGGAAAACCACCGTCCTCTACAGGCTGAAATTCAACGAGTTTGTCAACACGGTTCCCACGATCGGCTTCAACACGGAGAAGATCAAGCTGAGCAACGGCACCGCGAAGGGCATCAGCTGTCATTTCTGGGACGTGGGGGGCCAGGAGAAGCTGCGGCCTCTCTGGAAGTCCTACAGCCGCTGCACCGACGGCATCATCTACGTGGTGGACTCCGTGGACGTGGACCGGCTGGAGGAGGCCAAGACCGAGCTGCACAAGGTGACCAAGTTCGCGGAGAACCAGGGCACGCCGCTGCTGGTCATCGCCAACAAGCAGGACCTGCCCAAGTCGCTGCCGGTGGCGGACATCGAGAAGCAGCTGGCCCTGCACGAGCTGACGCCCTCCACCACCTACCACATCCAGCCTGCGTGCGCCATCATCGGCGAGGGGCTGCACGAAGGCATGGACAAGCTGTACGAGATGATCCTGAAGAGGAGGAAATCCCTGAAGCAGAAGAAGAAGCGGTAACAGCCGCTGACTGAGAGGAATCCAGGTTTACTTTGCAGTGATTTGAGCCTCCTGTGTTTGGATTAAAGCCCTGCTGAGTGATGCACACAAGGAGCTGCCTCAGTGGATAGAAACACAACTTTAACCAAAAAAAAAAGAGAGAAAAAGACAATAAAACAGACTTGAATTGACTCTGTGGAGCTCCAGCATTGAGGATTAAAACGGGCTGGCCCGTTTACCTGCTGCTTTAACTCGGACTCAGTTTGGACTCTGATGTTTTTTTTAAAATTTCCATCCACAGGTTGAGTTTGTGGAGATGAGTTTGATTTTGCACGTGGCTCGGGACACTTGTGGCCCCTGCTCTAATTTTAATTTCTTTCTTTTTTGTTTTGTTTTGCCGGAACCAGACATCTGTAGTGTCAGCCTCTGATTCTGGATGTCATGCAGACTGTTGATTTTGGAGCATTGAAGTAGCCTTCCCTCTGCATGGTGGACTGAAGACAGAATCCACTACTTTGCACTTTTCATTTGCTAACAAACAGTAGAGAACTACACTGTACGACTAGAGGAGCAGATCCAGGTGGTTTATGTACCAAGAAGCCAAAATTGAAGTATTTTTTGTATATTAAAAGATTTTAAATCCATGACTTTTGGGGTGTTCATTTGTTTCTCAGACGTGACTTCCTCTTTGTCCAGGTGCTCTCATCAGGTGTGGGTCAAACGGAGGTCAGAGGTCACTCAGGAGGAGAAAAAAAAAAGGTTTTCAATCCTCCTCACGCGAGCCGAGCCGGAGCTCGTTTGTGAAATTTATGGACCTGCATTGCGGTTCTGTGTTTACAGCGGAGCTCTAATTGGACTGACGCTCGGCGGCGTCTTATAGATTTCCGTCACTTCTTGCTCGCTGCTCTCTAATTAACCAGAGTCGCTTCTTTGGACGAGTTTAGGCGTCCGAGGAGGCAGAAAGTGGAGCTTCTGTTTGGAGGTTGGTTTGCTTGAAGTACAAGATACTGCTGGTAATCTTGACATGAGCAGTTTAGTCCATGAAATGCTGTCATCAACTCAACCGTCTCTGATTTGCTGGAAACTTTTGGTATCTTTTGACATTTCAGCTCAACTTAACAGGTGCTGATTAATATGTTTGAAGAATCATTTTGAAGCTCCAGAACTCTGCTTGGATCAAACTGTCCAGCAGTACTTTTGGTTTTTGTGCTACAACTTGCTCAATCGGAGATAAAAGTTCAGCTTTCTTTTTCATGTTTCTCATCAAGAATTTCATCTTAAAGCTGATTTTCTATGTTTAGTTTTGTATTATTGTGACATGAAGCTGCTTGTGGTTCAGATCATCACCGTCGCTTCTGCTTTATTGCTTTTATTTTGTAAATATGAGCTCAAAGATGAGATTTTTAGTTTTTCTCATAGCTCAACTGACTCATAATCGGAAAATATTTGGTCTAAATGTCCAGTGTTGCAGATTCTGAATCAATGACATGATGAGAAATAACAGATTTTTGTCTGTAATAGTTTCAGAGATGTTGTCCGATAAACAGCCTTGAATTTCAGAGATAAAATGTGCTTAAGGCGGGTCGACAGGCAGTTTAAAATGAAGAAATATCAGAAAGTATTTGATGTGTCGTCGTAAAATACCACAGAAAATGTTTTAAATATCAAAAGTTTATGATTTCTAAAAGGTTTCAAACAAATCAGAGATGGTTGAGCAGAAAATAAGCCAATTATTCAACATTTCGTGGACTAAACTACCTAATTAATGTGCAAACAAATGTGCTGAAAGCCTCAGAAAGTATTTTGATATTTCAAGCTACCATTCCACAAATATCTTTATAAATATCCACATTTAATGCTGTAAAGATTTCAGGCACATCAGAGCCGGTCGAGCAGAATATAAAGCGTATAAAGACGTTTCTATCACAGAAAAAAAGCACAAATTGCTGCAGAAAAATTCGGCAGCGAAGACGCTTTCATGTTTGTGACTGGTTTGAGCTCCTGGTTGCGTCACGCTGAACTCTGCTTCACCTGTAATCCTGTCACGCTGTAATTTGTTCCAGAGGAAAGCTGAAATTATTTTTTTGGATTAATAAAGAGGCCCGCTGACCTAAATTTGTATCATAAAGTTATCGTCTAAAGCAAAAATTAACCTCGTAAATGTAAATATCTGCTGTTTTCCTTTCTGAAAGGTTTTTATTTTTCTCGTTTGAACAAAAAAACTGTCTGAAAGTGAGATATTATGACCTAAAATAGTGAGAAATTGAGGAAACTGTTCATGTTCATTTTCCTGAGCGGCCCATAAAACAGGTGTAACGAACTGACATGACTCTGAACTCTTCCAATCACATCTTCACGCTCCTCGTGCTCCGTTTGACTCGTTAACTCACTGAACAGCATCTGAAAATAAATAAAGGTCCAACGTGGAAAACACAAGAGAGGAAAGAAGAAACTGCAGGTCAGGAACAGACAGGAAGATGCTGCCAAATGTGTAAAACTCTTCTTCAGACGGAGTAATGATGATGACGAGAAGAAGTTGTGATTTGCAAACGTGAACCGTGTTCTGAGACGGAGCAAAAAAAAAGTCCCAGTGATGAACTATATTAACCTCTTCTTCTTCATTAGTGCGATGTGGGAATTTAGTTCCTCTTTTACTGTGTTTCATGAGCTTTATTCTCCACGTTGTCATGAGCCGGGGAGGAGCTCCGTGTTCCTGGTGATGCATCAGCTGTTGAGCAACTTTCAGGCTTAAACTTTGACCTACTAACAAGTTCAGATTTGCCTGCGAAGCACAACTACACAAAGGTTTGTTTGTAGCTTCTTTGTCATTGCTTTCGCTGCTTCACGTCTTTTTTTGCCATCGGTCACATATTAGATGAGATGGGAGTTGTCACCGTGGTAACCCAGGAAATGCAGGAAAGCCTTCAGATATGTAGTAAAGGAATCGTGTTTGAACTTAAAGCACATTTTTTCTTAAACTTGCCGAACTTCTAATGTGTCAAAGAGTCAAACAAAGTGTGATATTGTCCTAAACTGAACCAGGAAGTGACAGAAAACCTGAAAACAAAACGTAATTCTGAGTCCATCAGGAAAAAGACAAAAACTAGACAAAAAAAACAAAACAACGAGGAGACAAAGCTGTCCAGGAGAGACATAAAACAACACAAACAAGGCACAAAATTAAACAAAACAACAAATGCTAGACCCAAATTGACATAAACAAGAAGCAAAAAGACAAAAACGAGGCACAAATGACATAAATGGTGCACAAAACTACACAAAAACAATACAAAATGACTCAAACAAAACAAAATCGACACAAATGAGACACAAAATGTCACAAAACTACAAATATGGGGCACAAAGCTACACAAAAATGACAAAAACTAGACACAAAACTACATAAAACAACAAATGCTAGACCCAGATCGACACAACCAAGAAGCAAGAAGACAAAAATGACGCACAAATGACATAAATGGTGCACAAAACAATGCAAAATGACAAAAACAAAACAAAAAAACACAAATGAGACACAACATGACAGAAAGCAACAAATACAAGACAGAAAACAACCCAATAAAAGGCACAAAATGACAGAAATGAGACACAAAACTACACAAAACAGTAAATGCTAGACCCAGATTGACGCAAAAACACAAAAACGAGGCAACAAGTGACATAAATGATGCACAAAACAACACAAACACAATACAAAATGACAAAAACAACACAAATGAGACACAACATGACAGAAAACAACCCAATAAAAGGCACAAAATGACAGAAACAAGATACAAAACTCGTTTTCGTTAGTGTTCATTGCAGCGACAGCTTAAGATAAATATGAGAAATAAAAATAACACATATAAGACACAAAAAAAACACAAATGAGACACAAAATTACACAAGACTACAAATAAGGGACACAAAAGTAAACAAAACAACAATTGCTAGACCCAGATTGACACAACCAAGAAGCAAAAAAACAAAAATGACGCGCAAATGACATAAATTGTACACAAAATATTGCAAAATGACAAAAAAAACAAAAAAAAAAACACAAATGAGACACAAAATTACACAAGACTACAAATAAGGGACACAAAAGTAAACAAAACAACAATTGCTAGACCCAGATTGACACAACCAAGAAGCAAAAAAACAAAAATGACGCGCAAATGACATAAATTGTACACAAAATATTGCAAAATGACAAAAAAAACAAAAAAAAAAACACAAATGAGACACAATGTGACAGAAAGCAATAAATACAAGACACAAAGCAACACAATAAAAGACACAAAATGACAGAAACGAGACACAAAACTATAGTTTTCGTTAATGTTCATTCCAGCGGCAACTTAAAAATAAATCTAAGAAATAAAAATGACACATAAAAGACACAAAATGACACAAGACTACAAATACAGGACACAAAACAACGCAAAAAAAATGACAAAACTAGACACAAAACTACACAAAACAACAAATACAAGAAGACAAAAACGAGGCACAAATGACAAAAACAAAACAAAAATGACAGAAACGAGACACAAAACTATAGTTTCCGTTAATGTTTATTCCAGCGATAAGGTCAATCTAATATCCTGTTGTTACAGTAATAAACAAAGTTCAGTAAACAATTATATAGTAATTAACTATAAAACTACAGTGAACCACGTGGACCACAGCCACCTGTGTGTTTCTGTAAACTTCATATTCTACAGATCAACACAGTCACTAACTGTTCAGATCACAACAGTCCATCTTCTTTCTTTGCTGTGATTGTGCAGGAAGCTGGAGCCTCCTGACCGTGAGCCTGCTGACATCAGCCTCCCGCCTTCACGCCGAGGCCGCTCGCTCTGCTAAAGCGAATGTTTTATTGGCACCGACTGAAATAAACGTCTCAGCCAGCAGCTAAAATGTTGCCTGGTAACAGCTGAAACTAAAACCGTCCAGCTGTGAGCATAAAAAAAAACAATGTCGATATTTAGGAGCCGGAGCAGCCAATCGGAGGCCGGCGTTCACCCGGGCTGGGAGTCGGCGTTTGTTTCACTTTGTTTAGATCGATGGAGCAGTTTAATAACGGTTAGAGTTTATTCTGTTTTATTCTCACACAATGAATTTTATTTTCCCTCCAAACTGACGAATCGACTAATGAGTCAGTGGAAGCCGCCGCCGCAGCAACAAACAGGAAACCTCAGTTTAACTTGAAACAATCTCACGTCAACAAGCTTCTGACATTGTTCAGAGCTGGGCCACATGTTTCTCCGTTTCATGTCTCCAAATTAAAAGCCTTTTTCTAAGTCGAGGTTTAAAATAGACACGAGAAAAAAAAAGCCGCAGAAGACAGCTCACTTTGAGGAATATGGTGATTGTTTGATGCTGTTTTTTTTTTTTCTGATGCTCAAAAAAACAGAATGTGGTTTCTCACAAAAAAAAAAGGCCTGTCATCTCAGGACTACCCGTCACCATGGCAACAGCAAAGCAACCCGGTCTATCCTCCAGACAAAAAACAGATTCCCCTCCTCGCAGCTGTCTTCGGTTTTTATCCCGACGAGAAGAGTCGCAAAGTTTATTATTATCCTGTTCCCTTCGACGCAGACAAAAGAAAAAAAAAGAAAAAAAACAAAGCCTCAGT